AACGGTTTTTCGAAGTCAGGCGAGTAGTGTAAAGTTGTAAAATCAATTTATTTGGTCGTATTTTCACAACTTCTGTCTTCGTTCATCTGTTCGCTTTCTAAAGGCAACATTTTGGTTGTTCATTTTTCTGTTGTTCTTAAAGATTTTAATGTTTTATACAATTTGTTAGGTACATTTGTTGAACAGCTTGACGAAGTAACACTTCGGTTGTTATTATTCTGAGTCAGTAATAAGTTACACCATTTATACCGCTCAGAGTTTGTTTAACAGCATCTGTGAAAGTAATTTTTCTCGATCAAACTCCGCTCGTTAATAAAAACAAAAACGACGATGGACTAGAAAGAAACTGTCGCAGATAGATTCAGTAGCAGTGTTACATGTCGTCGATAGCTGCAGATTTTCACAGTTCCTAACAAATAAATTTTAAACGTAAAATAATATGTCAATAATTACAATACCTTAGGCTCAAAATCCTTTCCATAATCAGGTTCGTACGACACCCAGTGATATTTTTTATCAACCTTATACTCGGGTTCAATATGAGCAGCTTCGACTAAACTAAGGCCATGTTCCTGCAGTGCAGCGTAAAACGCTTTACTCTAAAACAAAATCTGTGAAACCATGAACAACCGTTTTCATTGCAAAATTCGAACTGTCGCAAAAAAATTGTATGCTGCAAGGTGCTATCCGCTGAGTGCTCAATTTGATAGGCGTGATTTACGAGATGGAAGTACACGCCGAGCAAGGTCATTCATCGACACGTTATCCTCAGAAAAATTCGGCACAGCGCATAAGTTGCTTTGATAGCACAGGAGTAAAGAAAGGGTATGTTTGTTCAAAAGGCTTCTCTTAAAAGTGAAGTGTAGTTAACTATAGAGATTAGGAATTAGACTGTATTTTGTTTAGGAAGGGCAAGTGACTTTTACCACGTCAGCGTTTAATAATCATCATCCTTAGACAGTTTCTATCAGGTTGAATATAACTAAGTGTGATGAGGAAGCTTCTTTAATCCTGAACAGCTACGAAAAGAACAAACAACTTAAAATTCTTAAGCCCTTACTCTTGCCGAGATCATGTCAGTTAGCACATATGTGCATATTGATAAGTCTATACCTTTTCGCTGGTCTTTGCTTCCTCAGTGTCGGCAGAGACGGCGTTGATTCCATACTGAAAACAGCGGTGTGCTAAAATTCTGCCAATATTTTCGGCGGCTGACACATCTACGCAGCTAAGAAAAACCATTAGAATCGTCGTCAGGGTCAGCAGGCACACAGAAATGCCTGTTGATATTTAAACACATAGGGATCTGATTCATGCATCTAAACAACACCAGTTAATATGGACGTAATTGACTCCTAATGAATTTCTTTAACTGATATGCCATTTAAAATACTTCCAGGAGTGTTAAATGGAGAGGAAGAAAACGGCCTCAGAACCAGAAATAAGCATCCAAATCGTCACATAAAACGAAAGCTCCATCATCATAGGTAACGAAATTCATTAAAAGTACCATAGTACAATTAACTCGTCACTCCTGGCAGGGCAATCGCATGTAAATCAGCTCATTTACGGCTAATCTGCAGTTCAATTTCTTCGGCTTGGTTTTTTTGGCGAGATAAAAAATACACCTGAGCGCGTACAGAAGTTCACATATGAGAACAGCCCTCAGGTATGTGCTAGGCGGTGAAATATGAAGACACTGAAAACAGCACAAAGTCTAAGAACATTATTATGACTAAGTAGGTAAATGTCACCATTTAAATAGGCGGACTGCTAAAGAGTCAAAAGCCGTAGCCAATATTAAACTAAGTGCAATCGAATTACGCGAAATCTTAAGTATTCTGGGTCAGGGATCGGGATTGCTCACACCCGATAGAATGTCAAGCTTAGAACCGAGAGGTACAGGTCTGATCACTCGCCTTTCTTCCGAGGCTGATAAATGAGTACCAATCTGTGGGTACTCACTATGCTAATCAGCGGACTACTTACTATGCTTGCCACAGAGCTGTTGTCGACTGGCTTTTAAATAAAACACTCCTGGCTGATGGCACAGAAATGAAGGTCAGCACCCCCTCACTAACTTCATGAAAAGGACGACAAAAATGGCCTCTTCACAAAAATGTACGGAAAGGTGACATCCAAATGATAAAAATTCATTTTTCCTTCCTCTGGGTCGTCCGGCGAGCAGCAAAATTCAGATCCCCTCTTTCGTTCAGTTACAGATGTAAACTTAGGATCGTGAAACATTTGCGAAGATATGAACATTGTACACCCGCTGGTTCCTCTATATATCATGTGAATGTTGTAGTGTAGTTTGTAAAGATTGTTAACAACTTCATTATAATTCATTTGTCACCAAATATTCGAATCTTTCATATTCTCACTCCTTCACTGGATGTAAACGGCGCAATCTCAATGTTTCTAGATGCCTAGCGGACTTATTAAACAGGTCACAGCTTCGTGATATTATAGCACCTGCAATGCATGGATGTAAAACTGCATCGCTGTGTTATAAAAAAAACATTTTCTTTCATCTGTGCTGGTAAACAACATACTTTAGTGATCCTGTTCAAGTAGTAAACTTTCACTTCACGCGAACAATAGCTAAAATATTCCACAGGTACAAAACCAAAGAGCCGTGAAACTACCCCGTATCAGATATGTGAATGGCGGATTTTATTACCATAGTATTCATACAGGAAACAGCAAACAAATGTTTACTATTGTGAGACGCAGTACAGAGGTCTGTTCGATGAGAGATTGATACTGATATTTCGATCAGGATCTCACACGCCTTTTTCAAAACAAAGTGTTTGGTAGCTCTTAGGCATTGACAAAGCTGAACACGTGCGTCAAGGATCCATTAGTGCCAATGGATGCAAAATGGACGAACCCTTGACGTATTTGTTGTCAGAAAACTTAAAACAGCTGCACGGACGGAGAGCTCATCTTCCGGCTCTAGATAATCAGCTGATGCAAAAACCACTTCGCCAACTATGACCTACCAAGCAAAATCTGGTCTTCTGGCCCCCTTCCCAATGCTTCAAGTATTCAAAAACTTTCTACCTGTACAGTTTGTTTGCAATTGCAGCTTCTTTTGTTGAGACCTCCAAGATAATTCCTTGCTGGAAATGACGGATACGTGCAGAGATGTGTTTTTTACCCTTTAGTAGTTCAACCCTAAAAAAATAAGATAAGATTTTAAACGTGCTATGAACAAACGTGCCTGTAGTAGAAGCTTCGTTTCAAACGGTCCGCATTGTACTGGCAACCGAGTGCTTTGCGAACGATGCGCAGATATTCAAGATTCCTTGGATTTCTATTAGTAAGAAAAGGTAAAAGCTTTGGTGCAGCCATCCGCAAGATCTAATGTTCAGTTGAGACTTTCAAATGAAGGGACAACCAAGGCAAATGCGACTGAACACGCAGTTCAGCTCTCATCAACAATATCAAAACACGGCCACTGTTTTTCGACGACCTAAAGAAACTCTTTTAAAAAAACTTCGCCATCATGTACTCAAATGTACACAAGTTCAAATTGCCATTTATGCAATTTATTGGTTACAGTTTAGTTTATGAGCTTAGATTAATGCCGAACAGCATCACATTCACTTACGGTAGAAGAACACTCAGATGGACATTATGAATTGAGTTCGAAAATCATTTGACAAATAATAAGCTAGGCGACATTCTTGCTCTCCACCATACCCTGGCACGATTTTCAACAGGTGTCGCAAAAAAACTCCAATATATCAATCAATTATTTCTTGGCATTCATCCGAAGATTGAATATTTCGTTCGTGCATTTGTGATCGATCATATTGAAAACTGTATAAAAGCAGCATTCATTCATAAACAACGGCACCAAATTGGTCAGTCAGACTGACTGACCAGTACTGACGTTTCGATTCGTGTCTCACAAGCCTTTTTGAAGGTAAAGAGTTATTCATCTTTTGGTTCCAAACGTAATAATAGATGCAAACCACAGGACGAACTTCGTAAATCAACCCTCTCCACCTTGAAGAAGGCCCGTAAGACAAGCGCTAAAACGTCAGCACTGATCAATTGCACTAAATGACCAACCTGCATGCGCTGTGGACGAATAAACAGCGCTTTTACACAGTTTTAGGCAAACATCCGATGGCTTACAGATGTTAAGCTTTGCTTATATTTCATTATCATTTATTTCATAATGTTGGATGGTCTCTAAAACTCAGCCTCAACCCTGCCGTCGTAAAACGATGGACAACGACCACCGCGTAGCTGTTACGAAAACCGCTAATACATGCATAGTCCTGGTCGACCAACTCGGTCTTTGTAACCGTCTGGCAGAAGTCCATGTGTACAGTGGTCGCAAATAGAAGACTGGATCAGAGACCATTATCCGCAATGATTTAAAAAAACATGATTCTATCTAAAAATTCAGATATGTTCAGCAATAGATGTAACGTCTTCCAAAAAAGCATATGCCCATCACGTCGCTGGGGGCTGCTGATCTGCGGTGGGTCGTCAGGACTGCTGGATATATTATCTGCCTGCTAACGAAAATGCTACCAAACGTTCGACGGAATTAAATTCGAATAATCATCAGGTGTCGCTGCTCTGACGATAACGGGTGAAGTATAATGCCGAAACTTGGAACCTTTTCTAAATTCCTAAGGAAGATATTTCCATTTTCAGTCATCTACGCACAGTACTGGCATGAACTAAATATTAGTTAATTCCCCATTCCATGATTTTGTCAGCAAATAACAGAGGGGACAATTGACAGGTGCTCAAATAAACGAAGATGGAACATACTTAAACATGTCGCCTCCCCAAGGAGACTAGAAAGGGGCAATAAAAAAAGGAAATTTTTTGCCGGAGAAATTAATTAACTGTGAACACACTACAGCATACGAACCCATATTATGGAGGCCTTGCACTTCAAAGCTATTCGAGTGATGGATCTCTACCATCTGAAAGTACTCGGTACCATTTGACCTTGCTAAAGTGCGACGGTGCAATCTGCCACGACCACTACGCATTCAGAAAAACTCAAACATCATTTCTGGCTTGGAATAACACTGCAGAATAAGACTGCTGATGACTGTTCTGCTTCCTTCGCTGAACGGATATTACTGCGAACCGCCCACCTGCTACATAGAGTTAACAGCCTGCTACTTTTTGACTATCTTTACACGAGGAAACTTCGTCATCCCGAAAAAAAACTGAGATATACCGAAATACAGTGGACAGCACTCAAATCGTTACTTCAATGAATCCCCCGGCCTTAGAGTGTCGTCTTTTGCTTTCAACAGGCATAACGTAATGCTTTGCTGATGTACACTGTATTTATGCGGCTACTGAAAGCAGAAAGAAGCACATACTGCATAGCATTAATGAATAGTGATTATAATGACCCAAGACGAGAACGTCAATCTCATCTGAACTTCCTTTAAATACAAAACCGTTAACTGTCGGTAGACGCGTTGCAGAAAAATATAAAAAACACGTTGATGAGACATAGCCTACTTCTGATCAGACCTCTTCTACAGGAAAAGACAACGTTTTTCATAAATCTCACAGATCAATTCGCAGATTTCTCAAATCTGGCATCTCACACTGTACAAGCCTCATTAACGAAACTGTTGCGTGGTGTTTGTACACTTCTAGCCTGCTGAAACTGAATTTGCATAAGAGAATTGTATCACCATCGAAAACTGTTCCTGGCCTTTGTGGATTTACTGCCAAATTCGACTATCACTGATTCAATTCTTTTCTACGACAAAAACACGAAAGATTAATCTGCAGTATCTGCTGGAATGAAACTTGCAATCTTCAAATTTTAAAACTAATCAAATAACTCGCATCCTGTCCGTGAACGTTTAAATAAAAACAAAACCAATACAAAAAATGTTAGCGAAAGTCGGACAATATGCGAGAAGCGGCACTTTATCTATTACAGTACTGACAAAACGATGCACCAGTACAGCAAGTTCAAAATAACTTCTACTCATTCGAGAATTTACGGTTAAAATAAATTAGCCGGAAATTATGGAGGTTTAATGTTTTCAAAAATTTATATTTGATACTGGCTGTTTCTTAAAATTTTTAGAATGTCATGACTAAAATATTCGCTGGTAGAAGTGCATTATGGAAAGATTTGTTTTTTTAGCAAAAAAATGTCGGAAGACGAATGAATTGATCAAAACACAAGCAAGAGTCTGCGAAAGCATTGCCAGAGTGAAGACGCTAAAGTGGATATGTGAAAACTGGCTGGAGACGTTATAGGAGTACCCACCATCGCCAAACCGGAGAGGAAGTAGACTGCGTTTCAAGAGGCCATAAATGCCCATGGAAAGGCCTCCAAAGCGATGGCCCAATATGCTCCAGAAAATCGTTTGATCAAGGTTGATAAGAATTGGATAAATCAGAATGGTAGTTTTTGACAGGCACTAAATCGGTAGTTTGATGATTATGACATTACGTAGGCTAAGTCGATAATACGTTTAGTTTATCGCACATATAACATGCTTATGACCTCAAGTTTTATACTTTATAGGATATTGAATGTTTAACCTTCCGAAAGTTTCATATCTTTAAAAAACATATTTTTGGATGAATAAAACTATGCATTTATAGTGGATTTCAATGATCAGATCATTCTCCTGTGTCTTCTCTCAGAAATTGAAATTTTCGAGCGAGCCTTGGTGCAAAGCCGCCTCTTCTGCTGAATGAGAAATGACAGCAGCAATAGTTTGGTCATATCTGACGAAAGGTCCAAATAGGAAGATGAAACAGCAAAAATATGCCCTGTTCATGGTCATTGGAACGACCAAGAATGATTTTGGGCAAGTGTCTTGGAAGACTTTGCTTCAGATCCGGTTATCTTTCACCGATGCTCAACACTTGGCATACAACCGAGAAAGTTGGACACACTATTCGACGTGTCGATCTCTGTAATCCCAGAGGATATACGTTCGTGAAAACAGAATGACTGAGTGATTGGAACAAAATCATTTGGGCAGCATTTTTTGGATAGGTAGATTTGATGTGGAAAGACTATCCCACCTCATCCGAGATTTTTTGAATAAGTTATTCAGTGAAATTTGCTCAAGTGAACCATAGGGCATATAAATTGTTGGCTAAGTTTTGGTTGCAACGATGTAGAAGTACTAAACAGCAAAACTAGAAGTAAATGTGAATCATATTAGGCTGACTAGAATTTTGTCTAAAATAACAGCCCTTTCTTGGGATTGACCTGATTTCGGGCAGCGAAAGGAACTACTGAACATCGATAGGGTTCACTTCGGCGCTTGCAAGGAACGAATTATAATTCATTATAATTTACGACTTTTGACCATCTTTACCACGAGCATCTCAAAAATTTTTTGTCGCTGCTGCCCACCTGACTTTTCAAGTGGTAACAGGTCAGTTATAAATATTAGTCCGTTTTGTGACGGAAGATCGATATCAATTTGCTAAATAAACGTAGCAGCTGTTTTTGTCGCTTCTTTTTACATATTCGCTTATGCATGAATGCATACTGTGATATAGCTTTGTCATAATTAAAAAGGCGTTTATGCCTTTCGCCAAGCATTCATGTAAAATCTCTTGAAATACCTATATTTTCATTGTTTTTCATAAAATGTAAAGAAATTCTAAAAATTTCAACGCAACACGTGTGAGAAGATCGATATGCTGTATTCATTTGATTCATCGAAATGGTTAGTTTGACTAGCTTCAGCATCATTTAACTGTTTTGTTGTCTTATATTGATTCAATTGATCTTGTTTCCCTAACTTTCATTTGACTGTTGATTCGATTAGGTACGCTGCTGTTGATATCTGTTACTAATCAGGCATACATTCTGTTATATATATTCTGATATATTCATACGACGAATAAAAATGGAAAGTACTACAGAGCAGACCAATCTTTAAAAGTGAACTCGGTATATGTTATAAATATTAAGTTAGCGACTGCGATCTGTAAAAAGCCTTAGATGCCACACCAAGTATATGAGATCTGTGAAGGTTTCTTCAGAATTTTGAATAATTTTGCCTCCGTTTGGTTTGCTTTGCCGAAAAAGCTGACACAAATCTCAGATCTTCGGACAATTTTCACGGACTAACAGTCATCTGTATATGTTCATACGTGACAGTTGCCTTACTAAACCGTAAAGATACAATATAGGCAATTTGACCGTCAGCGATCAAAACGAGCCTTGTGATAATGCTCGATGGAGCTGTATCCAGTCTGCAGAGCTGATTATGCACATTACCATTAACTTCGTTCTGATATTATTTGAGCATTCGCAATCACTTGCAATTTAATACTGCTAGGTAACTTCAGCCTGCGAATCACGGAGTACCGTGCTTTTACATTAAGCGAGGCAAAGT